CATCTTATTTTTTTTTCTATGCTGACATCAGAGCACAGCAGTTTCTGTTGCTTATTTCAGCAAACAGGAAAGGCTGATTAATGGGCTGCATTTTATTTTAGACCAAGAAAGCTTTTTTCTTCTTTTTTTTTTTCAGTTTTCTACGCAGCAAGAACATATAAAGATCTGATTTTATTTTAAGTAGAGGTTTTACCAAAACAAAAATTAAATAGCTGTTGGTAATTAATTCCGCTCATTAAGTTCTGCTGTTCTGCAGCTTTTTAGACATGTCTCTGCTTTCCCACCTGAATCAAATGCTTGGATTTCCTCCTAAGCAAACATTTAAACTCTTCAGATCCCCTGGGAGATATTTATCTTATTTATTTATTTAGAATTAGTCCTAAGATCACTCCTAATGGTAAAGCAAAACAAAAAAAAACTTAAAAGATGGACTTAAAAGTTATTTATTAAATGTCTCACTCACACTTTAAGCAAAGTTTAAGATAAGATCTCACACTGCAAAAACGATCTAGAAATAAGTAAAAAAAAATCTTAAATCAGGTGCATCTACCCTTAATTTGAGTAGTTAAATGCGATGATTTGCCAATGAAATTAGTATCTTTACCCTTAAAATAAGATAATAAGATAATATGAACTTGAAATAAGACAATGCAAATGTTTTTTCTTATTTTAAATGTAAATTGTCTTGTTCCATTGGCAAAGTGTCTCACTTTCGTCCTCAATTGGAGAAAAAATCCACTTACTTTAAGAAAAAATGACTTACTTAGATTTCTATTTTTTGCAGTGCAGAGGGAGTTATGGTTGCACCTGGTGCCGTAAATTGAACATCTAAGTACTCCAAACAAGAAAATTAAATACAATCTACTGGACTTTGTTTCCAAGTTTGAAGACGTTTCGCTTCCCAGGAAACTAAAACGGAAAGCAAAACGTCTTCAAACTTGGAAACAAAGTCCCGTAGATTGTTTTTAATTTTCTTTCTTTGGAATGACTATGAACTTCTAAGTGCATTTAATTTAATAATTGCTGAATAGAAGCGATTATTAATGGCTGTTATGGCCCAGCAGTATCTGCAGAATTACACAATCTAAATATTGTAATAACATCTGGTAGACATATTGGAAACACTTCAATTTAACAAAATATCACTAAAAATAATTGTTCTCTTTTGAGAAAGGTTTTTTTTCCAGACCTGTAACCTACTGAAAACATGTGTTTTGCATTCAGAAAATTTGAGGAAAGGAGATGTTTACCATCTTTTAATAGTCCGTCACATACAGGACTATTAAAAATAATCCAAAAATGAGCTTAGATGAGATCATTTTGAACAACATGCTGTAAGATGATGCATTAGTACTGGCAAGTTTTTATTTATTTATGTTTTTTCTATACATCTGCAACACACAACCACAAATTGATAATGTCTTATCATGATTTATTAATGTTCAGCCATGCAACACGTAAATGCCGCTATAAGATGTGGCTAACCATAAGTGATGCATTGACACTGATAATTTTCTTTCTAACTGATGTTATCATATGTTATTTTTATGAGAAATGCTCCATTTCCTGTTAGAGCATCGCTTTGGTCTCCATTTCCTGCTAGAGAATTGCATCAGCTTTTATTTCCTGCATGAATCTCTTCTGCATGTCGTTAATGATGATATTAGGTCCCGTTCTGTTCAAATAATAATGTTTGATTAGCCTTGTCTTCAAAGGAAAAACATCTTTAGCTTCTAGAAAGTCGTCCACATCTCCCTCACCGCAATGCCAACTCCTACCCACTTTAGACGTGTCTGTAGGTCTCCTAAATATTGTGAGGAGTAGGAGAGATTCTTTGAATTGAGAAAGTTGATAAATAGATTTTATTCTTAGGTTTGAGAGTAGTAGTAAATTCCACAAATGGCACTCGGATGCTTCAAAAATACGTCCGAAAACCTCTGACGATGCGTTAAGAACAAATACGTTCTGGGTTTCCAAAGAGCTTAAAGGAGAAGTCCGGTCACCAATTTAATGAATTTAGCACTAATCAGTAAAAAAATAAAAGTAATAATTTTCGTTGTGATCGCTGAGTCTGGGAGCGGCCATTTTTGATATAGTAGCCCCTCCCTCCTGCCATCTTCCAGCAGTGACGTCACGGTGCGGTAAGCCTAGCGCCATTCTCCCCGCTTTACAAGCTAAATCAATGGGAACTACTAGACACATCTGCAATCAACAACAATTATTGAAGATTTCCAGAGGACTTCACCATTGAAATTCACCAGAGCTATAGTGAAACTGACACATACCTAAGGCCACGGAGAACCATGGCCCCTACCTGCTGACCCCACCTGACCTTACAGTTGCAGCCAATCAAAATGGCCCTTCCCAGTCAGACGCCAGCTGAATGGCAGCAGACTCTCCTGAAACTCCCACCAACTTCCCCTCCAACTTCCAGCCACTGGAGTGTCCCCTTCCTTCTCCTGGGCGTGCATATTTTTTACTCTGACTCCACCCTTTCATTGAATTACAGGGAGATGGAGCTATTTTTTGGTCTTAATGTCCACAAATCATGACAGAAAGAATATTTTAGTATAAAGATTGATGTTTAAAAAGGAATTGTAGGGGACCAGCCAAGGGCCCATGAAGTAAAGTGGGTAAATTTTGAATGGCTACTACTGTAGGTCTTAGCAGGAGGGAGCCAGCAGTAAAAATTTAGTTGAAGTCTTGAGAGTTTTCATATCTCTTTACTGGATAAGTTTGGGTTTCTGTCTGATCAGTGAGATTTAAGCACAGAAATGTGTTGGTACTCTGTTAGTACACAGAATCCAATCCAATTTCTATTGACAAATAAACCAATGAACAGATTTTCCATGTAAAATAAAATACAGATGGTGGATGGTGGAGTCCACATAACAACTAAAAAAGAACAGGGAGAAAGAAGCGTGTTTTGTTCCAAAGCCAATAACAGCAGTGAACCATCCTAACAGGTCAGAACAAAAAATCCCACCAGTGATACATTTTGGTAGCCTGACGTAGTCCTACTCAATTCTAGTCAGAATGAGTCTGATGCTGCTCCATAGAGCTGTGATTATGGGGCGTGTTTCGAACGAACCAGGAAAAAAAAATGCCTCTGCACTCAATTGGATAGACCTACAACCAATAAGAGCAACGGAGTGCGTGACGTATGTTAAGCGACGCATAGTTGTTGTCAACAAAAATCAAAGCGTGCAGTTGCACGCCTAGAATAAGAAGATGAGCCTTGATCGCGTTTCTCTGTTCCTCTTTTAAAATTAATTTGCTGTCTATATCTTCTAGAACAGACCTAATAGCAGAATCTGCTCACCTCAACTCTCCGGCGGCAGCCATTGTTGTTGTCACCCAAGCGCGCTTTGGTCACGTGGTTGATTATGTTACTGTTGATCATCTGTCCATCATCGTATAAAGCCCGCCCTGACAATTTGATTGGCCCGCCAGATATTGTGCTAGCATACTCGCGCTACTATTGAGCAATGCCAGACCGAACTTCCCGACCTCAAATGTTGTGGGCGGGACTAAGTTCTGAATGGCACCCAGGCTAACATTTTGGAACTAGAAAAATGGTTTATATTGAAATGCCAACAATGTCACAAAATACCAGAGAGAACTTCTTTAAATTTGATGGGAAACTCTTTGGCGTCCTCGCATAGAGAAGCTAGTACATCATTATTGGTTGTTATTTTGTATTTAGCTTAGTTGAAACTTCATCCTCTACTGATGAATTTTCCAGTTTGAGTGTAAAGATCAAATAATGCAACCTATTCTCATTGTGAGTGCGTATGAAATCGTACGAAAAGTTATGCACCGTAATTTCGTACGTGTTTTTCGTCGTATGCGCATTTGACGCACAATTCACAAATATAGAATATAAATTACAATTAGCCCAAACCCTGACCCTAACCCTAAGATATAAAACAGCAAGCAACGTAGTTAGAGACATGAATAATTGATGATTGCACTGTTTTTCCCAGTTTTACGTCCGTCCGCTGATCTGCTTTTTTTTTTCTGTCTGCCAGCGCATGCGCACTGACGTGGTTTTTTGAGGAAAAACGTCCCAAACGTACGAAATAGTGTGCATAACTTTTCGTACGATTTCATACGCACTGATAATGAGAATATGGTGAATAATGTGGAAGACTGAAGTCCTATTTCGTTTTTCACCGCATTACAATAACAGAACCTTAAGTGAATCTAAACTTTTGAATAAAACCATGTTCTTTTTTCTTTTTCCCCTTTTAATGTCATTAAACTGTCAAAGCAACAAAACAAACTCTCTGCATTTAACCCATCCCCCTTGGGGAGCAGTGGGCTGCCATTGTGCGGTGCCGGCAGAGTTAAGAGTCAGGGACTTGCAACCTTCTCAGAGCTCAAGTACGCTGCAGTAACCGCTAGCCAACACCCCCGTTATGCTGCATTTTGTTCTTTTATTGTGTGTTTTTATCATGTTTAACAACTTCAACACTTTGTTTTCAGCTGTTGCTGTTTTAAAGATCTGTACAAATAAAGTTGTTGATGATGAAAACAAATCTGTTTTGACAGAGGAATGTTCTGCCTCCTCCAATGGCCGATACTGTTGGTAGGATTTCATCAGATGATCACTGTGTCCAAGGCCGAGAAACGGGATGGTTGTTGGGGTGAATGCACGCCTAAAAAAGATTTTAATAGGGGAACAGGTATGTTTCTTCATTAACAAGATCAAATATGATCAGCTGCCTGGTTAATTGGTTAATTAGTCATCAGTCACTATGTCCACACCTGCTACTAGTATTGTGTTAGTAAATCTAGTTATTTATTGTGTCTAAATAAAAAGAGTGCATCATTCGTGTTTCAGTTGATAAAGCCAAATGCTGCATGGAGGTTTACAGCAATGGAATAAAGAAATTGGACATTTTCAAGTAAACATTTTCACTCTTTCCAATAATACAATCATTCTGTGTCAATCTATGCATCTCTAAGCTGCAAATGTATTTTCTCTTTTATTTCAAAAAGCGCAACTGAAATACTTGAAAGTGTTCTGCAGGAAACTAAGGTAGAGGAGGAAACTTCCATTTGTGTTGGTCCTTTAGTAGCTCTCCTACAGAAGCCGCCTAACATTTCCAGGAGTATTGAGATTTATGCCAATGACACTCAGGTGAATATATGCAAATATCTTTGTTAAAATGCAGACAGATTGAAAGGTTGGACACATTTGTCTTCTGTCTTTTTCATGGTGTATTTCTGGCCCTGATGTAGGCGATGTCGAATGCAGACGTGTTGAACAGAGCTGTGAGAGTTCAGCTGCCGGCAGAGCTGCATGCTGGAGGGAAAAACACTGTGGTGTTCTGTATGATTCAGCTGTCGAACCAGGTGAGACGCAGCTCATGAATCATATTTGTTGTCACTGATGGAACAGAGACAGAAAGACGGGCTAAATGTTCTTTTTTCCCCTTGAGATAAATGTTGTTTGCACATATAGGCTGTGCCCTAATCCCTCAGTCACTATATAGAGCAGGGAATATACATATACCCCATTTCACTACCCTTTTGGAACCGTGCGAAGATCCGTCCGATCACAGTTACCGAGATAACTTGAGTGTAAATGGAACTCAAAATGAACCGGACCGTACCAGACACGACTGTACCGCGCTAACATGGTACTAGTTCGTCAGTAGGGCTCGGCGCCGTTCAGTTCTGGTTCGGTTCTTTGATAACAAAGAGCGCATGAGCAGACGGCGTCATTTCCTTACAGTCAGCCTCCGTAATAAGGACAATTCTGACATTCATGAAAATCCTAGCTCCCCTACCGTGCCGCTAGCCTCGTGAGACCATCCTGATCTCGCCAGCTTTCAAGGTTTCACTCGCAGATAAGTCTGGAGACTCTCCGTTAAAGAAAATTTGGAGCCGTTCACCAAACGAACGTCCAATCAGCGTTGGCTTTGAGGCGGGTTGAGGTGTGACGCAACAAGAAGCGCGACAGTTCAGTCTAAAGAACATGGCGGCTTCAGCCGATGAAACTAGCGTTAGCGTGGCTATCGAGCAAGTTTTATCGGAATTACAGAGTATTTATTCACTGAAAGAAGAGCAAAACACTGCTCTGGAGGCTTTTCTCAGAGGAAAAGATGTTTTTGCTCTTCTCCCGACTGGTTTCGGCAAGAGTAGCCTGGCTTGTGGTTGTGTTTTCGTCGTCGCTTTGTTAGTACGTCATATGCTTCGTTGATCTGATTGGTTTATTTGGCCCGTCTATCACCAACATAGGCCAATCAGCTAACCAGTATTGTCGCCCCTTCCCAAAATTACTTCTACGTAAGGTTTTCCAGATGGATATGCGGAGCAAATCCATCTGGCGGAGTCAGGTTACCATGCCGCACGATTTCCAATGATGATTGTGCTTAGCAGAGTGATGAACCTCAACGTCTGTCATTGTTTCCTGCGTCTGGAAGCCCTGATTAGGAGATGGTGCTGAGGTGGAGCAGGTGAGCAGCACCAAGTTCCTGGGTGTCCACATCTCCCAAAACCTGTCCTGGGACACCAACACTGCATCCCTGGCCAAGAAAGCCCAACAGAGACTCTACTTCCTGCGGAAACTGAGGAGAAAAAGAGCCCCGTCCCCCATCTTGCACTCCTTCTACAAGGGCACCATCGAGAGCATCCTGACCAGCAGCATCACCGTGTGGTACGGAGCCTGCACTGCAGCCTGCCGCAAGACACTGCAGCGCACCGTGAAAGCAGCTGGGAAGATACTCCGTGTCCCCCTCCCCTCTCTATTGGACATTTATCACTCCCGCCTCACCGGCAGAGCCACCAGGATCGCAGGTGACCCCACCCACCCCGCCCACAATGTCTTCATCTTGCTGCCGTCCGGGAGGAGGCTGCAGAGTCTCCGGGCCAGAACCAGTAGGCTCAGAGACAGCTTATTCCACCAGGCAGTGAGGATGCTCAATTCCCTCCCTGCCCTGCCCCCCTTCAACCCCCCCCCCCCCCCCCTGACCCCCCAATATCCCCGTCCCCCACTACTTCCCCCACGTCAGGACTGCTACTCTATGCACTATTTGCACCATTAACACTACTGTTTACATATTTTATTTTTATATCTTAGGTTTTTATTTTTATTTTATGCTATGGTTCATTATATATTTTTTCATATTTTATTATGCACCGTGGGGTTGAGAGGACTGAAATTTCATCTGTGTTGTATGTTTACCATGTAGCACATTTGACAATAAAGTTGAGTTTGTCGACTCCTTCAATTAAGTTCAGTAAATTCTGACTTCTTTGCCTGACTCTCCGCAAACTTCCTGAATGTTACGGGTGACGCCATGTTGATTAGCTTGATTCCCTCTAGAGAGCAGTAGTACCGTAGATCGCCACTAGGAGGCCAGGAACCCTGCTAGCGTGACGTGTAAACGGTTGTAAGGAACCAAGCTCAGCACGGTTATATGATCCAAGCTTGGTCCGAACTCGCGCCGGATTGGTTTCAGAGGGTTAATGTAAAGGGGGCTATAGTGAACTTTTTAGTGAACTCAGTTAACTAACCGCTCAAACAGATTATTATCACTTTTTACTCCCTGTTGGTCTAACGACTCCACCTCCAGCCAGCGCCATCTTTGTTCTCTCGTCACCAAAACAAATCCCATGATGCTTTGGGAGGAGATCTTTTGCAAAGCATTCTGGGATATATCTGCTCATCTAGTGACCATGGATGATCACTAATTTTCAATGTGCATCGTGGGAAAGTTTGATTCCACTATTTTTTCATCCGCCAGACTTTTGGACAACCATAAAATGGCGTAAATACTTCCTATTAAAGGGGTTTGGGTGAACATTTGTACACAGCAGTAGTTTGGACTCAGCCATAGCTTTAGTGTCTTTTTATGTGATGCTGAATTCCAGAAAACCAAAATTTCAGCAGTAGAGATGATGAGTAGAAATATTCACTATAGCTTTTATGGAATTTAATCTTTTTTTGTAAATATATTTATCATTATAGTGGTTTATTAAGAGGGTCACAAACCAGTATTTTACATATACAATCTTAATGTTTAATCACTTAGGAGAAAAGAAAGAGATTTTGACGTGCCTATGCATGTTCATGCAGATATGGCATTAAAAATATTGCCATTGTTGCTTACCATCCTTTCCAATTGTCTCAGACAATAAATAGGTAGAAAGTTATCCAAGCTGCAACAGTCTCACCCCTTTTAGTGAAATAGAGTTCACTTCACTTTTGCAACTTTTAGGTAAGGAAAGGCAATTTGGGCTGTCCTTTTTTTTCTTCTTTACTCTACTGAACACATGTATATTTACAAAATGAACAAGGTATGCATTTTTTAAAGACAGCACATAAAACTACAGGAAAGAAAATTCAATGGGAAACTTATTTTAGTCATGGCTGTAATTAAAACAAGTTGTAGGACCCCATTGGTCTCTCCAAAAAAATCTGTCTGTTCCTTTCTTATATACTGGTCATATAATAATAATAATAATAATTGAACTTGATTGATCTCAAATTGGAGAAATGTACCTCTGTATTTAACCCATCCCCTTGGGGAGCAGTGGGCTGCCATCATGGGGCGCCCGGGGAGCAATTGGAGGTTAAGGGTTTTGCTCAGAGACCTAAAGTGGCAGTCTGTGAGAGTGGGGCTTGAACTCAGAACCCCAGGATTCCAAGCTCTTTGAATTTCGACTTTGACGCTTTTGCAACCCGTTGGTTGCAAGGCAAAGTCCTTCATCCACCGTTCCCCCCCCGGGTTCCTGATCCAGGGCCTGTGTTCGTGGATTTCTGCATGTTTTCCCCCGTGCGTGGGTGGGGTACTCCTGCTTAAACATGATTGTTAGGTTAATTGGAGTCTCTAAACTGTCCTTAGTTGTGTTTACTTGTGCGCACGGATGTTTGTCTCCATGTTGCCCTCTGTGATGAGCTGTCCAGGTTGTACCCTGCCTTTCATCCATAGATGCTGTATATCCAGCCCCACCGTGACTCTGACAATTTTAATCGGGAGAAGATGGACATATGTTGTCTAAAATCTTGCTTAGTTGTTTAACATCTAGTGTAATTTGTTTGTAGCCTCGTGAGACCATCCTGATCTCGCTAATCAGTCTGGAGACTCTCCGTTGAAGAAAATTAGGAGCCGTTCACCAAACGAACGTCCAATCAGTGTTGGCTTTGAGGCGGGTTGAGGTGTGACGCAACGAGAAGCGCGACAGTTCAGTCTAAAGAACATGGCGGCTTCAGCCGATGAAACTAGCGTTAGCGTGGCTATCGAGCAAGTTTTATGGGAATTACAGAGTATTTCTTCACTGAAAGAAGAGTAAAACACTGCTCTGGAGGCTTTTCTCAGAGGAAAAGATGTTTTTGTTCTTCTCCCGACTGGTTTCGGCAAGAGTTTGATCTATCAATTGGCTCCTCTTCGTCATAGCTCTGTTAGTACGTCATATGCTTCGTTGATCTGATTGGTTTATTTGGCCCGTCTATCACCAACATAGGCCAATCAGCTAACCAGTATTTTCGCCCCTTCCCAAAATTACTTCAACCGAAGGTTTCAGACGGATATGCGGAACAAATCCATCTGGCGGAGTCAGGTTAATTTGTTCGACTCTTGACACTGCATGAAAAGTGAGATTTTCGTCCCCGTAAACCCCCGTAAACTCCCGCAGATCTGCCTGATTTTCGTCAGTTTCCGACAATTTGCAACCCGTGCTTGTCCGCGTTTGTCGTGCCACAAATTGTCGGAAACGGACTCTGACGTATGTGGAGAGCGATCAGCTGTACTAATGGCCCTAATTAGCATATGAATGCAGCAAACCCGCGCGGCTGGCCAGGTCTGGCTTGAATAACCTACTCAGTATTGGCTGAAACCACTATTCTCAAACAAATGAAATCGCTCGTGATTGGCAGCAAAACCACACGTGGCCACGCCAGGCTTTAATTTTCTTACTGAGTATTGGACGGAACCACTTCTTTTTAAACAAGTAAAGTCGCTCGTGATTGGTTGGCATATATATATTTACATATATATATTTATTCATATATATATATATATATTTATTCATTCATATATATATATATTCATATATTCATATATATATATTCATATATTTATTCATTCATATATTTATTCATTCATATGCTGTGTATTTATGTTATCCTACACTACTACACAATTATTATGTTACCATCAAGGACATTAATTAATTTATACAGGAAATGAAGATTTGCCAGGAAGCTGTTTATGCAAAGAAAGAGCTTTATTAAAACACACACACAACTATATACAACGCATATCCAAACACATGCGTATCTAAAAATTACAACTCCGTGAACGGTCCGTTTGCTTCCTCGGGGTTGGAGGTAACAGGCAGCATTCCCT